CAAGAGTAACCAGAGCTACACCAAGAGAGTCCTTGAAAAATTCACGACACCAAATCTCGCTAGCCATTGAGGTCCTATGCTACCCACTTAGGTAGCTCTCGACGACCTAAGGGTACCCCGATAACATAAGGCCTGAGAACCTATCGATAACCCCATAGGACGCTAGATCTTGAGAATCTATGGTTACCCCATAGAATAGACCTTCAGGGCCTATGGGTACCTTCCTAGGATAGGCCTTCAGGATCTATGGCTACCCACATAGGATAGGCCTTGAGGACCTATGGTACCAGCTAGGATAGCTCTTGAGCATCTATACATGCCCCTATCGGATAGGCATTGAGCTCTTATGGGTTCCCCATAGGAGAAGCCTTGAGGTCCTGTGGGTACCCCCATAAGATAGCTCTTGAGAATCTATAGATGCCCCTCTGCGATAGGCCTTGAGCATTTATGGTCATCCGCATAGGATAAACCTTGAGCACCTGTAGCTATCCCCATAAGGCAGACCTTAAGGACCTATGGGTACCCCCAAAGGATAGGCCTGGAGAACCTATGGGTACCCACTAGGATAGGCCTTGATGACCTATGGGTATCCACATAGAATAGTTCTTGAGGTCCTTGGGGTACCTCGATAGGATGGCTATTGAGGACCCAAGGGTATCTCTATAGGATAGTCCTTGAGGGCCTAAGGGTAGCCTCATAGAATAGCCCTTGAGAACCTATGGGTACTTTCATAGGAGAGCTCTTGAGGGCCTAGAGGTACCCCCATAGGATAGCTCTTGAGGTTGTGTGAGTACCTTCATATGATAGCTACTCAGCATCTAAGATACCCGTATAGGATAGTCCTTAAGGACCTAAGGATCGCTCCATAGCATAGCCCTTGAGGACCTAAGGATACTCCTATAGGATAGCCCTTGAGAACCTACGGACACGCCCATAGAATAGCCCTTAAGAACCTAAGGGTACCCCCATATGATAGCCCTTGAGAACCTAAGGGTACTCCCATAGGATAACCCTTGACAATCTATGAGTAGCTCCTAAGATAGCCCCTGATAAATACTTTGTTGGTACTTAAGTACAAGTACAAGTATAGAAGAAATATACTTGTAGAAAGACAAGTAGAAGTACAAATACTTTTTTTTCAAGTACAAGTACATGAGCAAGTATACTTGTGAAAACGCAAGTACAAATACAAGTAAATTTTTTTCAAGTAAAAGTAAAATACTTTTACTTGCTGTACTTGTACTTGTCCCAGCTCTGATTGCTAGATCAATTTCATCGATCGAATGATTGATCCTTTCCTGTATAAGGTATGGTACATACCACATACCTACACCCAAGTGAAAATGAACAATGTCTCTTCGATTGTCATTAAATGTCCATCTTTTTTTGTGAGGAAATTCTTCAACATAAACAAAATAAAAGACGTGATACAAAAGTATATAATTGAATCCGTTTCGTTAGTCATGTGCATTTCTCACATTGTGTTTTACACGTAAGCATCTGTAACAGTGTTGAATAAAACATAACAATAAAATGATTGCGACCAAGATCATGGTTACTGAGTATATGAGACAAAAATTGTATATCCACCGATGACAATAGGATCCTGGATCTGTTGGGTCTTCCGACTGATAATAGGCATAGGTGGTGTATATGATGGAGACAATCTTTAAATTAGATAAATATCTTGCTGAGCTTTATTTTCTAATAGAACTCACCTTGAACGCCCACAGAAGTCCAATAACACCATAGATAGCCAATATGATAAGGGTGTATAGAAAATAGTACATATGTGTTCCTTGATCATCCGTCTTAAAGTAGCTAATCACGATCTAAGAATCAAAAGATATACCTTGCATATGAACATTCGGATTTCTAGCACTCCAATGTAAAGATTTTGAAATTTCGAATTCTAAATATTGTAGTCTACTTGAAAAAGAGAAATCCTTTCTTCTTATTCTTCTTCCTCTTCTTGCTTCCTATTCCATATTGATCATCAGTTTTATTGCAAGACTTTGCTTCTATAAGTTTTGAATTTTCCACATCTGACATTTTCGAAATTTTACTTTGTCAGTGTTTTCTTTCGAAATTCGAGTCACTATTATTTCCAAAATTTCTCTTTCTGTTCGACTGTACTCCAATCAATATTTGAGGTTTCAATGACCAGCATGATACTTACCAGAATTAAACAAAGAAAACTGCATGCCAAGCTGAAAAAACTGAATCGATAAAACCAATAAGGAAGACGCGGTTGTATAGGACAATCATCGTGTTTTACAATGCTCAAGAAGAGAGAGATGATTGGTATAGCAAACAGGACGATAAAAATCGCACCCAAAACAATAATTTCACTAGAAATTTTGCGACGCTCCTATATTTGAATCACTACGAGATATGGACAACATATTGGTCAACTTACAAGAACAGTAATCACGATAATGCTAGCTGAAGCAAAGCTGAGCAAACGGCCAATACCTCGATTGAGAAGTGGTCGGACAATATGTTGTATGAAGTCTAAGTAGAGAGAGCTCGGCGACATATCATAGAGAACGTTGGCAATAATAATAAGTATCATAGCAGCTAGAAATAGTTGATAAATACATCTCATCTTTTGTTACAATGCTTGGTTTGAGTAAGTTTTTTTTTTACTATGGTTCGGCAATAGAAAGATAATGTCGCACGTTGCTACATGTATGATACATGCCAACGTGGCAAGAAGCCCATGATTGTAAAATAATTAAAAGAAGAAAAGAAAACAAGACTTACTCATATATAATATGACACACACATACATGAAGAGAATCAACAAGATACGATAGATTTTATACGAATCTGTTTTTTTTTTCAGATGAGTAGGAAATGTCAAATGTGAGTATAGAAAAGAAGCATTTCTTTATACTCTATGAGACAGGCGATGCTAATGATCGATATATCCAAATGCACAGAGCTTGTCGAGGGGGTCCTATACATGAAAATTCTGACGAAGCAATAACTTCAGTAGTTTTGAGAAAGATATTATGAGTTTCAATTTTTTTTTCTATGTGAAAAAATCGTTCTAGTTTGTTCGGTAAGAAGAAAAAAATGTCTTTTTTTTGCTAACAGACTACCAATAAGAATATGTGTTAGACGTGTAAACTCTTGGCTAGTGAGAATCAATTGAAATGTAATAGACTCCTTCCTATGTAGTCCAAGAATAGACCAAGAAAAAATTTAATTGCAGAATGACTATTATCATATCACTTCTCTGTGATATTCATCGCTCACTTTACTATGTGTCATAATCTACTGTTACTACATGCATTGTCCTTCCTTGTTTCGTAACTATGTTTATGATTAGTTAGTTCATCACTTGTTGTGACAACACCAATATTGATGTTCTTCTTTATGATTACCTTTCTTGTTATCCTTGTCTTACTCTTCGTATCTCTCTCTCCTATTTCATTTTCCTAACTGCATATATAAAGGCGTACTTTTACATGGAAGCGATTAGTCTAAAAATATAAAGAAAAGGAATTAAGTGTAATTACATCGACGCAGCCACATTCTCTTAGGTCAATATTTCTTTCAGTGATCTATTGTCTACTACAGGTGTGAATGTAGATGAAGCGAGATCCATACTCACAATTACACCTACAGTCACACCCACATCCACGAGGCACATTGAGTACTTGAAATGCAACTTTCAAGTTTGACATACTCGATAACTCTGTAAATATAGATATAAGTGAAACAGTCAAAATTGGACAATATTAAGTTTCTTGTATCTGGAATACATCTGAAACATTTTTTTATTCAGTTGATTTCATATTAATGAAAAAAAAATTTGAAAAAGAAAAGAAAATCGAATAAACAAAGATATGTTTGATAAAAATTAATTATTGAAAAGAGAACTTGGATAGAAATACATCTTTTGCATCCATAAATCGAACAGAAATCTTTTCAAAACGCTTTATAAAATTTAAATCATGATTTAAATCAATATTATGTGATAACTCATGACAAGTAACCATAAAATAAAAATTAATGATTGTACGAACAATAGGAGTTGATGATGATGATAATTTAGAATTTTTCAGATAAGATTTTAGATCATCGAAAAAGACTTGTTCAAAATAACGGAGATTGAAAAATAATGCGCCATTACTGTTGAAAGCAATACGAGCTAAAACAAAAAAAAATGATACACCTTGACTTTGATTATATAAAATCTTTATAACACTATCAATATCACGAAATAAATGCATTGTTTCTACAGGTATATTAAATACTTGTTTTGCAAGACCAGATAATAACCAAGCAAGATGTGTAGCTTGTTGAATCAAAACACTTGTTAATTTTAGATTTTGATCAATATAAAGAGGAATTTCATGAAGAAGTTTATCATAACGAATCATATTTGCAGCCGGAACACATTCACATGATGTATTATTTTCATTTATTAAATGTTCTTGTTGATTGAATTCTTGTTGAGAATATGATCGACTTGCTCGAATCATTGTGTTTATAGCAGCATCATCTTCTGATTTATACCGTCCAAAATGATCAATACGATTTATTTCAACTGTATGTGCAATATTTGATTTTGTTTTCTCAGCTTGTAATAATAACTTAACCGCTATAAAAACAAAAAAAAGTTGCTTTTTTAGTTTATACCATATCACATAAGATAATGTTAACATTACGTTGTTGTTCTGGACTTTTCAATAATCGATCAACAGGTATTCCCCGTCGTTTAAGTGTTTCTAATGGTGAAGTAAGTTTATCACTGATTGAATGAACTAATGTATCTACTGATTTTTTACAGACAAATCTCATTAATTCAGTAGCAATATCAATGTAATCAAGAGTAGAAATATCTTTGTGAATGTATAAATATACTTTAGTTTCTTTATGTTCAAGTGCACATGAACTATATTCTATAGGCTTTTATTTAGAAAAGAAAAAGTCTTATTATTATAAAACTTAAATAAATATTTATTTTTGATCAATCTTACATTTAATGTGATTGTTTTATTTTGTAATTTTAATTGCCACAGAATATCTTCAGTTTCATAAACAGAGAGTTGCTTTCGTAATAACTCCAAACGTTTTAAATCAGTTTGTTCCAGAAATTCTCCCTGAAGAAAAAAAAAACATTTTATTTAAAATATTAACAAACAAAAAAAAAAGATACATACTCTATTATTAACAAATAACATATCTAAACGATGAAGAATTCGATTATGTAATTCTTTACTTCTATCCGTTATAATTTTTTTTCCTAAGAAAACAAAACAAAAACAAAAAATTATTTTTATGATATATTTTGTTATAAACATAAACCTAGATTTATTAAAGTTCGTTCAACACAATCGGATATCCATTTTGCACCAAATTTTTTATATAATTGAATTAATTGCTTTTCTTCAGGTGCACATAATGGTCGAAGTTTAATAGCATATTGATTATCATCATCTAAATAAATATCACTTGGTTTCGTAATTTTAAATTCTTGATATTTAATTCCATTGGATCCTTCCGGAATTTGATAAGCTAAACACCATGGTTTATTAATTAAACGACTATGTAATGGTTCAACATATAATTGTTGTGTTGTATTTGATACAATCGATAATTGCATTAAACAATTTGTATAAAAACGTACTTTAGCTGATAGAACTTGATCGCTCGTATCTTCATTTCGCTTAAAATATATTTCTTGTCGATCAATAAGTAAATCAGCAAGATTTTCTGCTGATGGAAAGTGACGAACTCCAATATTAAGAAGAAATGAATTAGCCTCATCACTATAATCTATATAATCAATAAGACCACGTGCTATTTCATCATCGAATACATTATTATTATTATTATTATCTTGAGATATTTTATCGGTTGTTGAACTTTTTGAACGAATAAATACTTGTGATGGTTTACAATAGATATTGTTTTCTTAAATATATTATATCGTATGTTTTCTTAAAATAATAAAGAAAAAAATTAACAAACCTGATAGAGGAATAAATGAAATATTTGAAATATTTTGAATAAATGTTGTATTCAGACCATCTAACGTATTAAAATAAGCAAAATATATTGCAGCAGTTTGATACGTTAATAATTGATTTCTTTTTTTCATTAGTATATTAAAAGCTATGGGTAAGGAAGGATTTTTTTCAACACCAAGTAAACTAATATTAAAATATTGTGAAAAATATCGAAGTACATCAGGAAGCAAACATGGAAATATTGGATTTGGTTCTAATTCAAAAAAAAAGAATAGTTCCAAATTAACAATAAACAGAACTTAATACCGAAACTAACCTTGAAAAATAATTTCAGGTGTTCTTAATATAACTTTTGTTGAATGATTGACATAATAAGTAGATGATGGAAGAAAAAATTTTTCAATATCTGACTTTTTCCATACTTTGGAATAATGTTCTTGAAAATTTTCTGCAAAAAATATAAGTGATTTTGGTAATTGATAATTGGATATTTTTTTTGATCCATATTGATGTTCTTGATCAATTCGATTCAATAATTCATATAAATCTGGTACTTCTCTTATACCAAGTTCTCTAAGAAAAGAATATTCTTGTGAATATGGATCAATATCTATCCAATCAATTATGGGTAATTCGTTCCATTGAAGACGAATTGCTACTGATGGAAAATGAAGATCACTTGGTTTATATTTATGTTTCATTTCATTATTCGACTTTAACGTTGTTCCTATACAAGAAAATGAAAAAAAAAACATTAAGGGAATTTATTTCTAAATTAAAAGTGTAATGGTTAACGCTATTCGAACGATTTTAAAATGTAGGAAACAACATAGCTATAGTTGTGAGTGCAGGAAAGGGTACAGGGTTAGTTAAGCTTTTGTAAAGATTTGTGGCAGTGATTTATATAGTGGGCGGACTGAGTAGGCGGCATCCCATCCGAAATTTTGATTCGTCCACTTGGGAAACGAAATCTAGATAACTCATTGGTCTATGATCGTTTCTGATTAAAACCTGTCTTCGTCTGACACTATATTTAGATGATGTTTCACAAAATTAACCTGTAATAGATTGATTATGTTTTAATGCATGAAAATCATTGTCACTCATATGTTTACGTTGTTTTAATAAATCTTGAATAAAATGTTCAAGTATTTGTGAATTGTTTGTTGAAATATTTGATTCAATATGACAAGTATTTGTTAATGTTGATATAAAAATTGTTCGACAACCGATTGATCTAAGAAAATCAATAGATACTGAATAATCTATTGATTCTTGTTTTTCTTCTTGGTTATTAGATTTCTCAAGTGATGGAATATAAAGTGTAATTATAGGTAAATCAGGAGATAAATTTAATGATCGAATATATGATTCATTCGGTGATTTCATACCTTGACTTGTTGGAATACATTTCATATGAGATAAACTATTTTTTATTTTATTTATTTCAATATCATTAAATTGATTCCAATATTGACAAATAAAACTAAGAAGAATTTTAGATGTATTTTCATTATGAAAAAGTTGTTGTTGATTTTCATTGAAATAATATTCAACTAAATTCTTTGGTGATATTGCTGATAATGATAATCGTGTTTGTAAATTTTCACGAGATATATGACCAACTATATTCGATGGTAATACATTGGATGGCAATGGAAGAGAACATATATTTAAAGTATGATAAAATGTAATATTTTCTAATTTAATAATACATGATTGATGAGTTTCACGATAATGGATTTTTGAAAGAACACGCTCTATATAAGATTTATCATTATTATCTATATCATATTTACATAACCAATGAAGTAATTCAATAAATTCATTCAATAAAAAAATCGATTGATGAATTTTAAATAAAATTGTTTCATTATCAATTTCTTCAATCCATTGATGTTCTTTTAAAACTTTAAAAAAATTATGTTTTCCAATAGTAAAAGGAACAAGAGGTATAGGAAGAAATGCTTCAATATGTTTAGAATTTGTTAAAAAAGCTTGTGTTGATGAAATTAATGAAAGATAAGTATGTGATGGAGATTGTTTTACTGGAACAAGAATATCTTCATTCGATGAAAAAAATCCATCAAGAAGGAAATCACATGCAAAAAAAAACATATATATACCGTTGAATAATATGAAAAATTGATATTCTGCTACTAACTAATATCTTTATTTGGTGCTGATGTTTGAAATGCATAGGAAGCAAGAATAAGATTGAGTTGTTGATTGATTTCCTGTTGAATATTATTATCAATATCAAGAATAGTTTGATCATAAATAAATCTAATAATTTTTCCAATTGATATAAGAAGTTGTTCATTCCAAATTGAAATATATGGATCTTGTAGATCAATATTTTCACGTTCAATTGTTGGAATAAAATGAGTAAATAAATGCATACCAATACCTGTTGTTTGATGTGTTGCTGAACCAATAAATATTTGACCAGATGGAAAAATTTCTTGATTATGAAATTTTAATGGAATTAATTCTTTTAATATTTGATTATTTAAATTTTATATAAAAAAAAAAACCATAGAACAAACTTTAGTTGATGGAAATAAAAATTGAATATGTAAAATTGAAGGTAAACTCTTTTTAAGAACATTTTGAATTTGTTTATGAAAATTTTTATCAATGATTAATTCAGCTTGAATATCAATATGATTAAATGTTATTGATGGACCATTATGAATAGAAAATTTTTGTTTCGTTTGTGTCAATGAATTAAATCGAAGACAATTATATGTTTTATTTAGTATAAACTTATTTGCTGCTATTGATAATTTTGTTGATAAATTTTGTTTTGTTTTATTAACTTGAAAAACTATTAAACCATTTATTTTAATAATTAATTCATTGATATATTTTGTAAAGGAAAGAATTTTTGTAAAAAAAAATTTCAGTTGTATTAAATCCATTGTAGATACGGTTTCATTTGTAAGTATATTTTTATTTGATTTTGTTGATGTCTGAAGACTGTTATATGTTTCATTGATTTCTAAAGTTGATTTTGTTTTTAAAATATATTTATTTTTCATTTTAAGAATAATTGAAGTTGAAGATTGTTGTTGATCATCGGATAATTCCTTACGAAATGTTACTAATGTTTTTCCATTTTGCCATGAAAATACTAAACAATTTTTACCAGATACAATCATAGGTTGTTCGGAATAAGAAAAAACTGAAAAAAATCCAACACCAAATTGTCCAATAGCATCAACATTTGTATTTCCTTCAGCAATAGTTATAATTCGTTTCCAATCATCTTCACTAAATATATTTCCATTATTTATTGTACGAATTTCAGTTATTATACAATTATTAAAATTATTTTCAAATGAATATTGATTATTGAATAAATTATTATTTAAATCTTTATTTGAATTTATTGTATTTGTTTTTTGATGATTTTTTAATCGTTGTCCAATACCGGCTAAAATTTTCGACTTTTTTCTTTGATTAATGGATAAATGATCTTTATTAATCGATTCATAATTTATTTTTGCAGTCGATGGATCACAAGTTATTTCAAGAGTAAATGATGTTGATTGAGCATCATCTGAATTTTGAATTAATTCTCGATAAACAACAAATTCAGATGAATAACGTGCCAACATTTTATCAATTAACATTCGTTGATTAACTTCTACACGATCTGTTCTACCTTCATTCATTATTTTTAATCGTAATTCATCCGATGATAAAAATGTTTCAATATTTTGTTCATTCATTTTTCTTGTTTTATGAAAATCTTAAACAATTGAATTTTGAGTAAAAAAAATGAAAACTATCTTTCCATGATACTTGAGCCTTTAGAAGCAATTTTCAAGAGCATTTTGAAATAGAAAATGAACTGAATGAATCAGTTAAATGTAAGTATGACATTGAAATAAAGGAAAAGTATCTTACATAGACATAAGATTACTTTCTAGAGTGACTTCATGTGCTATTCATATTAAACTACACTTTTTGTTTTTACTTTTTTTGTGCTTAGTAAAACATAAAGTATTTCAATAAGAAGAACTTTGATTTAGGTGAATTGTTTCTTTTTTTTAATACTTGTTTATACTTTTGATATGTGTACTAAATGAGCTGCTTTCGAAGGCAAAGAATCAGTATGCCTAAACACTCGGAGTCTTTTTAGTAATTTTTCCAAAGTAGACGTTCAAAAGGATTGGCATCGTAGATGAAACTGCAAAAATTTGAATCTCAGCGGAAAGTTAAAGATGCGATTTTTCTTAAGACATTCTTCGTACTTGATCCATAAATCTAAAACCGTTCACTTTGCTGTAATATATATTGCTCGATAACTCTACAAAAAGGATGTGCACACCTATGATCTATGTTTGGATTATACTCCGTATACTTTCATTGATATTTGACCTCATGCAAAATTTCATGAGGAATCATTTGATAATAAAATTAGGTGACTCTGGAAGGATCTAGATTCATTCTCACTCAACTTATTGATATTCAAGTTTGTATCATAAATGTATGATTCTTACATGAAAAGGTAACTGCTTTAAGTTTTTTCACACTAACAAGGTAGAGCAACATCTAGAACTGTAGAGACCTATTTTCTAGAAAATCAGTTTTTACTAATGAAAAAAAAAAAATTTTTTATCAAAACACTTTTTTTCCGAGTTTGATGTTTCCGTTTAAAGTATAATAAATCCAAAGTTTTATTGTACATAGCTTTCATCGATAGTTTACGTGTTACAATCACTTGATATTTTCTAGTATATCTTACTTGTACATGAAATGTTTAATCAATGAAGCGTAGAAAAATCCGAGTTGATTTATTCAGATCTTACGTTTTGATGTAGGAGTTATACTCGATATACTTTAGGTTTTCGGCATGAAAAATGCCTTTCATTTTCTTCAAGCAAGGTTTTTTTTTTGTTTAGAAAGGTACTCTTTCTAACTTCACTTGTACTGCTAGGAATGTAACAGTGATAAGCATATGTTTGGTATCGTTTAAATATATTTCTTCGAATGAGTGAGAGAAAAAGAAGAACATTTTTTTCTGCAAAAAACAAAAAGAAAAGAAAGAGTTATATTTTTGGTGATTCTAGCATCTCTTCGCAAATGAAAAAAAAACATTGCTTTATTAGTGAACTCAACGTACTTAATAATCTGGACAACTAAAAAGAAATTAGTGACCTAAATATTAAAGCGTTATTAGGCAATATCCTGAATAAGCATTAGATCAAATTGTATGGATGACTGTTAGAGATATCCATTATTTAATCACGATTACTAAGGTCTGTAATATGACGAAGTAAGGAGAATGGAGATCGGGACATTGAACCCAAAAATTTGGACTTAAAACCCTAACTCACTATTTTCTTCGAAAATATAATGAGTTTCACAAAACTAAAAGGTATTCGGCATTCAAACCTTTTCTATAATTTTTCAGAGTCAAGCAAAAACCCCATGCTATACGGTGAGTACTGAATTAACACAGTTTTGACTTGAGAATATCTCAATCCAAGAAAATTTACTAGATTCACTCTTTCATGAATGATTTTAGTTTTTTCAATAGCACAAATTTGAATATCAATATAGTGAAGGAAAGTATTTTTGAATCATTCAAAATTTGCTTTATTTTGATGTCAAAAAATTTCTCATGAAACTCAACATTACATAATCAATGAAAAAAGGAAAGAATAGAATGATCTAAAACCTTCATCTTATAGTGCCATGTCCTTTTAAATAATCATTACTTATCATTTTATTAGTTATTCCAATTGTGTTTCCAAGAGATTCTTATTTCAAATGAATTATCAAAAAAAAAGAAAAAAAAACTTTTTACATTTGAGATGCATTTCTTCACTTTTCTATGAGTTGATCATTGGAAAATTGAAGGAAGGAAATGACTCATGTATTATGGCTAGCTGTTGTGATGTACAGTCTATGATTGTATATCAACAACGTATGTAATGGTCTCTGGATAGTGTCTCTTACAATTCGTGGTAGAAAGGAGAGTATGAACAGTAGTACAAATTTCTATCACAGTCATTTCAATGCTTTTATCAAATCTTGTTTTTTAAACATTCAGGCAATTGCTCTTCCTAAGATAATGCATTACCTGCGTGCATAAATCGTTTGTATGAATCTAAATATGAAGATATTTTTCATATGTTATTAAATGAATAGAGCAATTTACAAACTATGAGTGGTCACAAGAAAACAGATCAAAAAAAACACGCTTGAAAGGACAAGCAGGAAAAAACCAAGTAAAGAAGAGAAAAATGGAGAATATGACGCATACTAATAGAATATGTATTACTGAATAGTAAAAATAAACGAAAACTCAAAGCGTAGAGAACAGAACAAGATAAAAAATATCAATAAAAATGGATCGATTATGCAACAATGTGTTACAGAAATTTTTGAAATGCATTCTTGTGATGGTACATAATAATACTAAATTAGTTCATAAGTCGAAAACTATTTTGCATATTTTAATTTAAAGAAAAAACTCTATTGGAAGACAATTTTAGAATAATTTAAAATCTGTTTTGTTTTTGAATTGATCATTATGCTTTTTTCTTCGAAACAAAATTTTTCTACAGAAATAATACTGTTTATTTCAAGAGTAAAATATATTTTCTGTATTATACTAAAATATGTATTATTATCCTTAAATGATTAAAATACTTTTGCTTAATTTTATCATTTTTTTAATATTCAGACATCAATTCAAATCATGCCTTTTTTTTTGTTCAATTAAGGGGACCCCCCCCCTTTCCCGACTCAAAATTTTCACATTTTTCGTTTTTCATTTTTTGTGATCAGTATATAGATTTCAATGCCCTCTATCCGTTGAGCACACTTTGAGAACTGAAAACCCACATCTTATATATACAAAAACTCGAAAAAAACCACAAAATATGCTGAAAAAACCAAAAATCACAAATTTCGTTGCATTTTTCTCGAAACCAGTTTTTTGGGTATCAAAAAACAGTTTTGCCCCCCTTTTCTCCGCCATTTCAAGTCCGATCGGGCTGAAAATTTTTTTGGTGAGACTTCAAGTGATTTGGGTTGGACGTTTTTTTTTTTTTTTTGGATACCTTCTACCAATCAAGTTTGGCAGGCTTCGCAAAATTTTTAGGACCCAAAAAACCTAGAGATTTTGCGAAGTGCTCAGTATTTTGGTTCTCCAGCCTGAAGTATTTGGAATTTTTGAAAAAAGAAAAAAACGTCCACCCCGATTGGGTCCGTCTACCCACAGTAAAAATTTCAGCTCAAACGGATGAAATCTGTGGAGTTGCGGGGGGGCAAAACGTTTTGCAAATTTTTGACCTTGGGGTCTCTGGAAGCCCACGAAGACGACGTCTGGCAAATTTGTGTCTATGACAACTTTTGCTCTACTACTCGAGGTCTATCTACCCTGAAAGTTTCAGGAATTTTCGTTAGGTCGTTTCTTAGAAACGCCGGAAAGGGGGGGGGGGTCCCCTTAAGGATCAGTTATTGTTATTGAAGAATCAACTCCATGTATATTATTGCTCGAAATAATGAATTGAAAAATGAAGAAACTTCTTGTAATGCACGACAATTACGTGAATCATTTTTTCGCGCGTCACTTCCTTGCATGATATTTTCACGATGATAATAGATTTTTTTTTCCTTTCTATTCTTGTTACATTTATTAGACAAAAGACCCCATACTCAATACTAATTTTCATCTTGTCAATCCATTTGTCAATAGATATTGAGCTGTATTTCTTAGTTGTTGTTTTACTTAAACTTGTAACATATGATTATGTATCTAGGCTACGTTTTAGATAACTGTATGATGAAAGGTCTGAAAAAGCAAAGCTAGTTATCTATGGTAGGTAAATCATATCTTAAGTTTTATGTGTTGCAAATAATTGACAAGGAGAACAATATTTTGCATATATGTGATTTTGCATTATTACAATATAAATTTATACTATTAGTTCGTAAATTTTTGACTACTTTCTTTAAAAAAAGTGTATGATAAGGGACCATTCAGGTTTTTAGAGAGTACACTAGACTTTTAGAGATTCCATACATTTATTAATAAACAATCAAAAGTTCTACTTTGGGTATACCAAACACAGTGTCATCATTATCTTATTTACAAACAGAAAGCTTGAAGAAAGTTTCTTTTTTTTCGATGTAGTGATAGAGAAATCGACGCTTAATTTTTCTGTGCTATTTGATTACTACTGAAATCTTAAATACGCTATCTGAAGTTTGTTTAACCAACTTTTCCAAGATCAACAGTTGGATTTTTATTTAAAAACACAAGCAAGAAACCCACACCTTTATACAGAAGTTGCTAAAATAACATCTCCCATTGACAGTTTAAATGTACATCTGAGAATAAAAAGTTCGCTGTGTACACCTCATGATCTAGATCTATTTTCAAAGTTGATTGAAAAATCTTACAAAAAGAATCAGACCGAAAAAATCTGAAGCATAAAATTCGATGCATCTTGAGGGTGGGTGTGGGTATTTCTAGTTTCAAAGTAATATCAGATTGTGATTCCAGTATTTTTTCAAATTTCAAAAATTTACTCTATACAGTAGCATGGGAATCTAAGTGTTGGCAAATTTTCAATAGCAACCTGAAACACACATTATCATTTGATACACTATGATGAATTATCCCAGTATGAAATCCTTTTTCGAATCTTAATTCAAAGTCAATTCATCGAAATCTAGGAGGATAGATGTCAGTTTGAATGTTGTCGTCTGT